CAACCTCACTTATTGATTATTACAATTCAGCTCGTGAAATTAAAAGCTATGAGTTTGGTAAAAAGTTGGTTAAAAAGGTTGATAAGCTGAAAATTGTGGTTACCAAATGGGCTCTAAATATGAAATCAATTCATAAGTTGTATTTGTGTTTGCAACGGTTGTGCCAACCACATCACAGAAATTGGGATTTATTCATCTGCAGTAAACAGTAAATCTTCCTATTATTTTCCATATTTTGTACTCCTTTCGCATTAAAAAGTTTGCTACAATGGGGGTTGACACAATGTTTAAGAGAAAAGTAGCAGAGATGATGAATAGTGTAGAAAAAGTAAGTTAGATGGTGGAAAAGTACGAAAGAGAAGATAGAAATTAAAAAGTATACAAAGGTAGGGTAATTGAGTATTACTCCCCCCGTCCCCGAAAGAAGTTCCTCATTTGACTTTCACACACTTTTATGCAAGTAAACTTATCAGGGGGTAAATTTTATTGTTTTGACACTGTTTGGACACTATTTGGCACTGTTTGGTACTGTTTTGACGTAGATAACTTTCCATTTAAGGAAATGGAAACTTAAATTAGGGACATCCAAATAAGGAAAGTGATAACTTCTTTCGGGGACAGAGGGAGTATTAAAATGAAAACTCACCACAAAGGTAAAGTGCAGCTAATATTAAAAGACATCCCAAAAAGGGAAAGTGTAACAAAAATTAAAATACATTCCAAAAAGGAAAGTGTAGCAAACATTTCAATACGGAGGGAGTGTTTTTTGTTACCAAATTATTGAAGTGTATTTGATAAAGCAGGAGGTAGCATCTAAGACTTGTCTAAGGCTTGGGAAATGTATTGATTATAAAATATAGCTATAATAATGTCTTGGACCTAGTAAATAAGGTCTCCTCAGTCCTAATAATGACTTAGTAATTTCCTGTATTTGAATTATATTTTCTTGCTGGTCAGAGAATCCTTTCCTTATGGTTGTAGTTTGTCTAATCTAAATCTAAATTTGTCTTTTGCTAAGCGGGTGCTTTGTCATTTCATGATATTTACATAGGTTTGTCAAAAAGAAATTTGAAGAGTCATATTTCCAGAACACTGCCCCTGATTGTGTGGACCGGGTATTTAAAATCTATAGAACCACTGCCCTTGACCAAAGGCTTGTAAAGAAGACTTTCAAATTGGTAGATGAGACCTTGAGAAGAAGAAACTTGCTTGAAGCAGGGTTGTTGTGATCCTCTACAGCTTCATCACAATTTATAAATGTGGATATTTGGAAAGACGCATGGAATTGATGACATGGTTTTAGATAAAATTTGCTCTTGGCATTTGCTACAGATTATTCAAAGTGTTGTTCAGTCTGTCACATAAAAAAGTTGATTCTTTTTATAACCCGCCTTCTCAATTCCTTAACAACCTATTGGGACTTGCAATGAGAAGGAATTAAAAAAACTCACTTTATTTCGGTGTTCATTACTGTAACTATATTTATAACAGGATCTTTGTAAGAGTTGTATATGAACTGCATCCGCTATACTACATTTGTGTGCATTTAAATCCCTTTCATGTCGAGCACTGTTCTTAAGTTATACATCCACAATCTTAACTATTTACTCTGTATATTATACATACATTCGTACTGCTGTAATTGTGCTACTGCTTCTGATGGTATTCTTGTTTATGACTTATGAGCCGTCTAATAATGCGATCACATTTTTTAAGTTAATTTTAATCTGCGCATTTAGTATTTATAATCAGTCATGGACTCGGGCCGGTTCCGGGTCCGGCCGAGTTTTTTTTTTTTTTTGGAAGAGCTGGAACCGGCCCGGGTAGGCACCGATTCCTTGCCGCCTATGGGTGGACCGGTTCTGGTTCGGGCCTGGTTTGGGCCTGGTCCCGGCCGGGCCTTGGTTCAGAAATGGGAGGCCCGGAACCGGCCCGGGTAATCCCGGGTCCGGTCCGGGCCTCGGTTCTATTTTTTTTTGGCTTTTCCTAATTAACCCCCAACCCTCCCCCTCACCCCCAAACCATCTCAAATGGCCCAAAATACCAAGCCCAACCCAAAAACTTAAAAAAAATTCAAAAAATTCAAAAAAAAAATTAATTTGGCCCGAACCAGGCCCGAACCGGCCGGGCCGGTTCGCCAATCAAAGGGCCTGGGCCCGAACCGCACAGTAACCGGGCCGGGCCGACCCGAACCGCCCCCCGGACCTGTTCTCGGGCCAGGCCGGTTCAAACAGTAACCGGGCCGGGCCGCCCGGCCCGAGTCCATCCCTACCTGCCGGGCCGGGCCGGTTCATGTTATTTTTGTTTAAATTTCTTTTGCTTCTCCAATTAACCCCCTCACCCCCCCTCACCCCCTTCACCCCCACCCCCCAAACACCTAGACCAACCCGGGAGAAACCAAAAAAATTGAAAAAACAAAAAAAAAAGGCCAGGCCGGTTCCGGGCTCAAACCGGGCCGGTTCCACTTTTAGGAGGCCTGAGCCCGGCCTGATTAATTCTGGGCTCGGGTGGCCCGGACCGGTACTATAACCGGGTACCGGCCCGGCCCAAACAGTACTAGTTCCGAGCCGGTTCCGGGTCGGGCGGCCCGACCCGAGTCCATGACTATTTATAATTGATGAATGTACGTATTTTGTGTTGATTTGTAATGTTACACTACTACTGTACATTGCCCTTGAGCGTCACTCATCCACTCATTTTACGTGTGTATTGTAGTATGTGCATGGTTAAGGACTTTTTAATCCAATACATTTTACTTTTGGTTCTATTAGTAGCACATCAATTTTATAATTATTCCATGTTTTTTACTTTCATCACTTTTCATACATGACATTGTGTTGTGTCTATATATGATTATTTTGTTGATATTTTTGGCGGTCAAAATCATTAAAGAGGTGTCAAAAAATTGGACAGAGTGCCACAATTGAACAAATGAAAGATTAAATGTTATATCAATATAACTTGTAAGATTAAAAGTGAAATCAATTCTTTTTAATTCATAAATTGAGAATGTATAAATGATCATTTTGAATTAAGAGAAACTTGTAAGTGAGAACTGAGAAGATGAGTAAATTTGATCTTACACTCAAACTTTGACAGTGATAAGATGTACGTAAATTTGACATATATCACATTGAATTTAAACAAATTAGATTAGATCAAAGCAAAAAATTATAGTCTAATTACAAATATCCTAAAATTTTACTTAAAAACAAACGGCCCTAAGTGTGGAACTTGGGTTGATTTAAGTTCCAATTATGGACAATCACTTTCGAGTGACCAAAACGTTAACTTCGAGCCCTTCGATTGACGATTGTTTCCAAGTTTTTTTCTTTAAAAACAGAAGTATAAAACAAAACAAAACAAAACAAAACAAGTGCAGTAAAAGTTGGTTCTGTTTGGACGTATCATTGTAGTTGGAAGTGTTTTTCAAAACAAAAACAATATTATCAAAACACACAACCATAACGAACTAACCCTTGGTAAACCGAGTTTTTTCCTAAAGGAGGGTAGTCTCCAATCTTATTTCCCAATTAAGGATACTTTTAAACTTATTTACTAAATGAGGGTAGTTTTTATCTTGTCATCCAATTTCCGCCACATCACCTACTCCATATGATTCACCGTCATCAATCGTTCCACGTCATCAGCCATATGGGTATTCTTTTAAAATATAAAAAAAAACCGTAGCGCCCAGGAATCGATCTCACAACCTAAATGATGCATTTGCATCTTGGAACCCACTAGGCTACATTGACCTATTGGTAGAATCACACCTTTACAAGTATTTAACATCTATGCATGCAACGTATTTTGATGTATGCAATTCAAATATAATTTAAAATAACTCTACATTAATTAAATAAAATGAGAAACAAAAATGAGAACGGCTGGACTAATTCATCCCATATTTAATAAAAAAAATCTTATATTACTAATGCGTAAACATGTAAAAATATAAATTCCATGACAAAAATAAAAAAATCCAACACTGAAATACATTTTTTTTACAATCATAATATAAGTATTTCACAAGTCTGAGATGGATTTGAACCTATATTTACATTTTTTATTTTTTATTTTATTTGGAGTAGATTTATTTTAAGTTATTTTTGTATAGCATATATAAAATTACGTTTTTGTTATAATTTTTATTTGAGTTTTAATTTTTTAATTGTATATCTCAAATTAAATATTTATCATATTCTTCTTTTAATGTTATGTTATCATATTCTTTAATTGTTTGAAGAATGACTAATATATCTCTAAAGGAACGATTAATATATGAATTAAGTTGGTGATGTCATGTGCTTAAATATATAGTATGTAGTATATGTCAAATAAATTTCAATATACTTGTAAAATACATATTGTGATTGTAAAAAATTGTATTTCAGTGTTTTTTTTTTAATTTTTGTCATGGAATTTATATTTTTACACGTTTACGCATTCGTAATATAAGATTTTTTTTATTAAATATGGGATGAATTAGTTCGGCCGTTGTTGTTTTTGTTTCTCATTTTATTTAATTAATGTAGAGTTATTTTAAATTATATTTGAATTGCGTATATCAAAATACGTTGCATACATAGATGTTAAATATTTGTAAAGGTGTGATTGTACCAACAAGTCAATGTAGCCTAGTGGGTTCCCGGGGGCTATGAATTATTTTATATTTTAAAAGAATACCCATATGGCTGATGACGTGGAATGATTGATGACGGTGAATGATGTGGATTAGGTGATGTGGCGGAAATTGTTCAGATTCCAGATTTTATTATTTACATAAAATACAATCAGACCGGTGCAGCCGTGCAGGCTTGTTTTTCACATACCCGAAATGGTTCTGGTTCTTGTTTTTCACTACTAGGTTTAATTTTTAGCAGCCGGGACCTGGTGCAGTGCCAGCTCTCCCTGCTCCCAACATTCTACACTATTATCCGTTGTTATCAGGAATCAAAACCACCATCTTTCCCAAACACTTAAGTGCCTCAAAAACAGTTAGCGGGCTAGCAAGTAGGAACTGAAAATTCCATAATGTTAAAAAAAAAAAAACAGTAATTTAAAGCATTGTTTAAAAAGGGCTACATGATCAGCAAAAATATGAGTTATCATAAAACTAGCTGAAGTAATCAGCTCCATCTAGCCTGTTACATTGGTTAACTGAGCATTCTCAGCCTTCGAAGCATGTCGACGTCGCTTCTTCCTGAAATCCTTCCTAAAGAAACTCAATTCCCTGCGATAGATAAACGGGTTGGCTGCAGCATGCTTCTTGAGGGCTTTGATTTTACCCAGACTTGAATTTTTCAAGAAAACATCACAGAAAGCCTGGACAAATGGCGCAAAGGAAATGGCATCCTCCTTAGCCTTTTCAACATCCCTACACTCTGCCTCAGTAAGAGCTTCTGCTTCATAAATGTCTCTATACATGTGGTACTTCCAAGGATCATTCAAGATCTTTTCAGCAACTCTGGACAAGTTAGTGTAATCAAAATGAGTGTATTTTTTTACCTCATCCAAGTAGCCAAAAGATATAATTTTTTGGATGACAGCATGCATTGAAGTGATGACCGCTTGACCGCACGGAGAGGCGTTAACACGGGTTCTGAAGGCAGAAGGTATTCTCTGGTTACCAGGATCAGCTCTTAGCACTTGCATTGGTCTTTTCACACCGATCCAGCGAAAAGCATGATAAAATAAGACGTCTTCAGGAAAATAGCTTAAGATATTACCCATTTGGGAAGACACAGCAAATTGTTTAGCCTTTGCACTGAAATCAGCAGCAGTATCAGCACAATAATATGATCCAAGTGATCTAAAATAGAACTCATTCATAAAAGGAAAAAAAGAAGAGAGTTGCCACGCCTGCTCGTCTAATCCTTTCATCACCTCCCCGTCCGTAATGAATATCTTTTTGAAGTCAGGTGGAGCAACAACATACTTAGTGTGGCTCTGGGAGTCAAACCATCCGGCTTTGAACATTGAGACCCTAAGAACAGCCCATTTTATAGCCTCATTTTCATCATTCTTGTACTTGATGTATTGAGCCTTAGCTAAAGCATATATAGCAGCAATCAAATCATCAGCGTCTTTCATAAAGAATTCAATACCTTTTCCAACATTCTGAATAGGACATTCGGGAATAACCATACGAGTAGGCAAAAGCATATAGAAATCCCGACTTACATCGCCCAGGATGCTCTCTTCAGGATCATAGGAAAGCATATCTTTGAGCTCGCGAATAAAATCCCAAGCTTTGAGCATGTCTTCCTTGGTGTAGGGATGAGGGATTGGCTTATTCGAGTCTCGAATATTGCCCTCAGAGTCAATGAAATCCTTGGGATCAACCAATTTCAGTAGCTTGCTAATCTTACCTAGCTTTTTGTCATCGTCCTCATCATCATCATCATCATCATCATCATCCAGGGCCGGTCCTAGGGGGAGGGCAGCAGGGGCGACCGCCCTAGGACCAAGAAAAAGTTGAAAGAAAATTAGGCCCAATTTTTTTTCTTTATATGTAATCTGAGTATGATTCTTTTTTATTTATAATTTCAAATATTTAATTAGGTCTAATGTGTAATTTTTGTTGACAATTTGAAAATTTTAAAACATAAGTAAAAAATCTTGAACGGAGCTAGACAAGTTTAAAAAATAATATAAATTTTTTTTTGATTTTAAATAGAGTTTGGTGTAAGTCAACACATTTGTTGTTGAATCAATAAAAACACGTCTCTTCACATCTTTTTAACCTTTAAGACTTTTTATTTTTTAATTACAAATTCCTGATTGATATTATTGTCTTTGTGCTGCCAGTGCCTCCCAATTCTCAAACATCATCCCAATCATTTATTATACCTCAAAAAACTTAATGGATTAGCAATTTTAAACATTGCACATGTCATCTTGGAAAAGAGTGATAAGCAATTATTGATTATTTTACTTCACATTGTTCTTTTGTGATACTTGTGTTGTTACTTTTGTCCATATATGTAATATAATTCAAATAATATGAAGGTGAATTTCATTTTTATTTTATAACGTTTATTAGATAGTTGTTGGGAGAATTCCTTAAATAGGAGTTTTTTTTAGAATTTCAAAATAAAACTGTCATGTGTTTAGTTTCTGAATATGAGTAATTATTGTCATGTTCGGAATATACTACCATGAGTAAAGTATGATACTGTCAAAATACGGCAGTGATTACTTCTATTTAGGGAATAAAAACATGATAATCTTACTTTTGAATATACAAACGTTTTTAGTCCTATTTAAAGTAAAATCCCATAGTTTATTATACTCCATAATTTTTACTTTAAGTAAGTATAATTTACGGTTTGTTTTGAAAATAAGGCAAAAATAGTATACCGCCCATAGGCCCAAAATTGGACAGGACCGGCCTTGTCATCATCATCAGGCTTTCTGCCAAACTCATTCAAAACCCATTCATGGCTCCTTTTCCTAGACGTCTGAGCATCCGGTTGTTGATCATTCATGTTCTTCTACGCTTCTAGCTAGATGGTTTTGTAGAAGTTATCGATATGGAGATGATTTACCTATTGAGGTTCTTGGGCAGTTTGTGAAGAACTCAAATCATATGTACAAACATTTATATACAAGTGGAACTCATAAGTGTGCAGGAATTGTGAGAACGGTTTGGACGAACAGATTATTACATGAGTGAAAATGAAAATATTAAATTTAGGCGGCATAATGATTTCTTATTCCGTGTTTCCATGCCCTTTATTGTTCCAAAGTACAAATCTATGTAACACATCTATTTAAATACCTCGATTGTTTTATCTTCTCAAGAAACGGGACTATGAGAGATATAAGCCTACAACTCTACAAGTATATTAGCTCAATAAATGAGAGTTAAAATAATGTTTAAACTATTCACATTTTAAAGATAAATATATTAAAAACCTTCCAAAAAATAAAGTAAAACTAACTGTTCACATATTAAAGATATATACTCCGTATATTAAAAACCTTCCAAAAAATAAAGTTAAATGCTTTACAAATAACATGACAAAGAAATAAAGAATTACACAAAATATATTAATGAGGGTTATTTTGAGATCAAGTGGGGTTTGTTATCATCCCTCATGAAAAAACAAAGTGAGATATGTGTGTGGACCTCTAAGGCTCTAACCAGTGGCATTCCTAAATGGAGGGCAAGATGAGTAATCGTTATACAAAAAAAAGATCAATGTTTTTAGACACAAGAATTATTGTTTTTATACTCCGTATATGTTATGATATTTTATATGTGTTTTTGGGGAAAATGTGCTAATACAAAATATATGTATTACTCCCTAGTAAATCATTAAAATTTATTTGAGAATTTCAAAAAGAGACACAACCCCAACGGCAAAACACATTAGGTATTTTTTCTACTAGTAGACGTAGCTCAGCTGGTAGATATGGGGTGCCAGAAGCGGTAAATCTTGAGTCTGAATCTCAACAATTGCGATGAGAGGTTATTATGTGAAAATGCATTAGAGCTCCGCAAGTACTTGGATCAGAGCCTCACTTGCTATCTTTCAGTTTGTGATAAATCTAATTTAGATCATCCACTTAATTTTCATTTTAATTTTTGAGCTTTTTTGTATTCACTTGTGTTATTAACTAAGATTTGTGTGTCATTGTGTGAGCAATTTATATATTTTCAATCATGCATATTTTATTGATTTGTTAAAATGTTGTTCTTGTTTAATTTTATATTCATTTCATTATCTTTAAATATCAATTACTTTGAAGGTGTTTGATATAACCATACATGTGCCCCGTCATAACTCACAAGGAAAATAATAGCAACAACTAAATGTTTGTGTGCAATATCACTTATCACTCACTCATAAGAATTATCTTCACAATTTTCTACAAGTGTTTTAAACGTTTTATACCTTTGTTGGATAATTAATTGTGCTCATTTTGTTTGAATATACAACTAATAATCTCAATAGTTATTTTTAACTTTATTATGACTTTATGTATAATTTTAGAGCCAATTAGGTCAACCCCTTTCTGACTTATCAACATATATTTTTTTTTTAATAAAAAACATAACTTTTTATTTCACGAGTTGGATTTTGTAATAAGTAAAATAAGTAAGGTTGCAATTATTTTTTTAACTAAATTAAATGAAGAGAACTACTGAACTATTTTTTTCACAAATTTATTAGTTTATTTTATTAGTAAAGTATATTTTAATATAGGCATGTCAAACGAACCCGACCCACAATGACCTACCATGGTCGGGGCCATTTGGGGGCGGGTCCCCCCCACCCCTCCTATACAATGGGTCTGGTCCGGGTATTCGTATTGACCCGTGACGTCCTGACCCGCTCGACCCGACCTGCTCAATATACATGTATACATAAATTCAATATACTTCAATATACATATGTGTGTATATTATAAATCATAAATTATTTGATCTCATAATATATTAATATTTATATTTGAATGAGGTGAACGACGAATTATCAATGTCTTCTTTATATATCATTTTAATACATATATTCAATTTTAATACTCCGTATAATTAAATAGAGTAACTATTCAAGTCTAAGTACTTGTTTCTTAATTTTTGAAAATCTTAGAGTATTGTGAATTTGATTCAATAATTATTTTTAATAATTATTTAGAGATAAGATTTATGTAAATTCAACCGGTAACAACATCCCACAAATAAAAATACATTCTAGCTAATTAGGAGGTCACGACAGGGCGGGTTATGGACTTATGGGTCAACAAGTGTGGATCTGTGCGGGTTACTGGGCGGGGGCGGGTCCACCCAGTGAAATCAAGGGGCGGGTCTGGGTCTTGAAGTACCCGCCCCGACCCATTGTCATGCCTATTTTAATATAACTCTTTTACACTTCAGATTCAATAGCCTCATCTTGAATTTCATAATTTAAGCAGATTAGGGCAATCTGACAAATTTTATTCTATTAATTCCCTTACAAAAGTAATTAATAATTATTAAAACAAGCCTAGGAAAAATCTTGATCCTAGGTCCTAAAAATCTAATTTGTTTAACTAAATCATTCCTTGTACATATATTTCAACTAACCAGATCTTTAACTCCTTTCAAAAAAATGGATAATACCGATTCTATTTTTAGCCACATTCAAAATAATAAATCAGATCTGAATATCTGATAGCAGAATAAATATTATATGGGCCGTTAAATACTACGGAGTATTCACGTTTGTATTATGGGCTGGGTATCCTTTCGTAGCAAGATCTTAATTTCACAAGCCCTAGAAGCAGAAATGACGACCAAGATCTTGTACGGAGTATTACTGAATAAAATCAGTCCAACGCTCACTTCCCAAACCCTTTCCAACAGAATCAGAAATGACGACCGGTTTGAAGAAGAATCGGAAGAAGCGCGGCCATGTCAGCGCCGGTCACGGGCGGATAGGTAAGCACCGCAAACATCCCAGTGGTCGCGGTAACGCCGGCGGTATGCATCACCACCGGATCCTGTTCGACAAGTATCACCCTGGCTATTTCGGGAAGGTCGGTATGCGATATTTCCATAAGCTCAGGAACAAGTTCTTTTGCCCCACGGTGAACATCGACAAGATCTGGTCCCTTCTCCCGCCGGAGGCGAAGGAAAAGGCGGCCAAGAGCAAGGATTCCGCTCCCCTTGTCGACGTCACCCAGTTCGGCTACTTTAAGGTGTTAGGTAAGGGTGTCTTGCCGCCATCCCAGCCATTTGTGGTGAAGGCGAAGCTCATCTCTAAGACGGCTGAGAGGAAGATTAAGGCGGCCGGTGGTGCCGTCCTCCTAACAGCATAGGTTTATTTCTTTTTCAGTTTTACTTTGTTTGATGCCTTTTTGGTCTATGAAATTTTCCCTGACTTTTGCAATGAACTGGTTAAGAATTGTGTGTTTATTCCTCGTCTATCATATATTTAGTTTTTCGTGTTTCAAACAAAAAGAGAGAATAAAAGCAGTCCAGCACTACCAGCTCCCAACATTGTCCATGATTATCAATTGTTATCTGTAAGCAAAAACATACTAAGTGTGGCTCTGGGAGTTGAACCAACCGGCTTTGAACATTGAGACCCTATGAACAGCCCATTTTATAGCCTCATTTTTCATCATTCTCATACTTGATGTATTGAGCCTTAGCTAAAGCATAAATAGCAGCAATCTAATCACGAGCATCTTTCATAAGGAATACGTTTTCCAACATCGTATACGACATTCAGGAATATCCATACGAGCAGGCAAAATCATATTGAAATCCTGATTTTCATAGCTGAGGATGCTATCAGGGGATCATAGAAAAGCAGACTTTCGAGCTCACAAATAAAATCCCAAGCGTAGAGCAAGTCTTCCTTACTATAGGGATGATGGATTGGCTTATTTGAATTTAGGATATTGCCCTTGGAGTCAATGAAATCCATGGGATCAACCAATTCCAATAGCTTGCTAATCTTACCTAGCTTTTTGTCATCATCATCATTAGGTTTTCTGCCAACATACATGATACATCAATAACCCATTCATGGCTCCTTTTCCTAAACGTCTGAGCATCCGGTTGTTGATCACTAATGTTCTTCTACGCTTCTAGCTAGATGGTTTTGTAGAAGTTATGGAGATGAAGATGAGTTACCTATTGAGATTCTAGGACAGATTGTGAAGAACTCAAATCATTTGTTCAAACATATCTATACAGGTGGAACTCAGAAGTGTGCAGGAAATGTGAAAACAGTTTGGACGAACAGATTATGGCACTAGCGAAAATGAAAATATTAAATTTAGGCGGCGTAATTATTTCTTATTCCATATTTGCATGCTCTTTATTGTTCCTATGTAGAAAACTATGTAACAAATCTATTTAATACCCTGGACGTTTTACCTTCTCAAGAAATGGAACTATGGAAGGTAAAAGCCTCCAAGGACGGCTCATCAGAAAATGAAAGTGCATTTTATTATTCTCTCTAGAGTTTTTGTTAGTGTTAAGTACCTCAACTATAAGAAAATGGAACTTGGTTTTTAAATTATGTGAGACATATTCTCTTTAGGTTAGGCATGGACCCGGTTCGGGCCGCCCGGTTCGGGCCGCCCGGCCCGGGACCGGCCTGGCCCGCCACTGTGCGAGCCCGGAACTGGCCCGGTTCTCGGGTCCGGGTCCGGGTCGGGTCTAGGCCCGGTGGGGTGGGCGGGTCCGGGCCCGGGCCTTGTATTTGGCGAACCGGTCCGGCCGGGTCGGGCCCGTGCCCGGGCCGAATTGATTTTTTTTTTAATTTTTTTTTCTTTTTTTGGGGTTAGCCAAGTTGGGCTTGATGGTTAGGAGGGGTTTGGGGGTGAGTGGGGGGGGGTTAGGAAAGCAAAAAAAAAAAAAAATTATAACCGAACCGGAGGCCCGGCCCGGCCCGGACCCGGACCCGGTGGCTACCCGGGCTTGTCCCGGGCCTTCCTTCCCAAAAAAAAAGCCCGGCCGGGCCCGGCCCGGAACTGGAACCGGCCCGGCCCGGAACTGGAACTGGCCCGGCCCGGGTCCATGACTAGTTTAGGTCAACATGTTTGTAAATCTCCATATTTAGTTGGCCCAAATTGACATATTTAGGGGCGTTTGGATCTAATTCTTAATACCGGTTTTGCTTCTTAACATTGCCCTTGATGGTGTAGACTGGGTATTTAAAATCTATAAAACCACTCACCTTGACCAATGTCTTGTAAAGAAGACTTTCAAATGGGTAGATAGACTTTTGAGAAGAAGAAACCTGCTTGAAGCAGGGTCGTTGTGAAATTGTGACCCTCGACAGTTTCATCATAATTTATAAATGTTGATAATTTGGAAAGACGCATGGAATTCATGACATGGTTTTGGATCAAATTTGATCTTGGCATTTGCTACAGATAATTTAAAGTTTGTCAAATACCAAAGAAGTTGATTCTTTTTATAACCAGCCTTCTCAATTCCCTAACAGCCTATTGGGACTTTCATATGAGAAGGAATTGAAAGAAAAACTCTTATCACTTTATTTGTCTGTTCATTAATGTAACTATATTTGTGTCCATAACAGGATCATTATATGAGTTGTATATTTGTCTGCATTTAAATCTTTTTCATGTCAAACACTGCTCCTAACTGATCACTCCGTATATTATACATTTGTACTGTTGTAATTGTGCTGTTGTACCTGCTTCAGCCTTCTGCTAGTATTCTGGTTTATGAATCTTCTAATAATGGGATAAACTTAATAAACTTAATTTCAATAATTAATCACTAAAAGTAGCTATTTTAATCAATCATTAATAGTTTCAACGAGATTGATAAATATATCAGTACTAGTGTTTGCTCGCGCAAGGCGCGAGAGTGTTTTCCTCGCAAAAAAAGTTATTTTTTTGAAAAAATAAGTCACTCTAATTTTAAATGACCAATTTGCCACATTATGAAGATGTAGTTTTATTTGGCAGAATGAAGATGTAGTTTTAAGTCGCAATTTCTGCAAACTTAAGTGACTTTCTAAAACTAATATGAACATATGGTAAACAATGGCAACATATGATGTTTTTACTTGGATTGTATTCTGTTTCAAATCAGACCAGTTCAGATTTGGATAATTATAAAAATACAAAAAAAACATGGGAATTTTTCACAAAGAGACAAAAAAGTCAAAGTAATATCACTTTTGTCACCTTACAAAATACTTTTCAAAAATAGACCAACTCGGCTCTTTCTTTCAAAAATAAACTACGTATTGAACTAACGTACCGGAATCTGTATTGAACCAACGTGCATGGATACTAGGCTACTTCTATCACACTGCACACTTTGTTAAATTTATATAGACTCGAAGAATTATTCAATTCATGTTTTTTAAAATATAAAAAATGAATTTATACAGTAAAAGAGATCATGATAATTAGAAAATAATGAAAATATTAAAAATTAGATATCAATAATAAATAATCAAATAACCAAATCACATAATGCATAATAAAGAATCGAGGTTGAAAACTAATAATAAGCTGGATTTAAAAAACAGAATATATATTAAAAATTAAATCAGAGATATGAAACGTATACAATTTTGAAAAACCAAAACTCAAAAGTAAAAATAAGAAAATTTTAATATAGTTTATGAAGTGGAAAATATGTAGAAATATAACAATTTATGTAATTTTATTTCTTAAAGACTTCATATACACTATGATTTATACTTAAAGCAATAAAAATTATAATTAACTGAATTGTTTATATAATTAATTTAAAAATTCAAATATATAAATAAAAAAGTGAAAAGAAATCTTAGAAAAAGAAAAAATGAAATTAAACCCTATAATATTTGGAATTTTAAAAATAATAAAAAATGGTTTTGAAGATTACAAAATATTTGAAAATATTACAAATTATCTTAGGCAATTATAAAATATTATGAAATTGTTATTATTTTAGAAACCAATATACATACAAAGTATAACAAATATATAAATTTAAAAAAAATATCAAAAAATCAAAATACTATAACATAAAATGTAAATATGAAATTGTTTTAAAATTTAAAAAGAAATAAATTTAATTAAACTAAAAAGTATGAAAAATACAAACTTGAAAATAAAATTGTGAAAAATAAAAATTGAATTCGAAATAGAATTTAATGTTGACAAATTTTAAAATTTTAAAAATATGAAAAATACTTTTTAGATAGATTTGTTGTTTGATTCTGTTGCATATTGTTTTTTCTTGTTTCTTTTTGTTGATAACTCTGAAAGTTTTGTTTTATATTGTTTCTTTATGTTTCCTCTAGTTGTTTTATATATAAATTATATACAGAAAGTCAAATTTATTATTTTACCTGATTGAATGTGAATCTATATATGATTTGTTTTACTTTAAAGAAATAGCAACGTTAAATAAAAATCTAAATATACAAAAATCAATAACAATTCAACAACAAAACAAAAATAAGTAATACATTGCAACAAATAGCAACACAATGAAACAAAAAACAACAACATGCAACAAAAAGCAACACATTCAATAGAATCAATACAACAAAAAGCAACAAAAAAACAATGTATGAAAGTATCACAACAACCATGTAGTTCAATCTAGTATTTCAATGTATTACATATATCCCATTTTTTCATACATATGCATAAACAACCTGTAACCTTCTTCAACTTCACCCACTTATGTAAACTTCTGGATAAGGATGTTGTATGTCTTCATATTGCCGGGGAAAACATTTGCAAACATTTCATCCCATAGCAGTTTTGCAGGCCTCACTAAATCTTCACTATAGCAGGCTTCTAGAAGTGAATTGTAAGATTATATGTCAAGATCAAAAGCTTTTCTTTTCATTTCACAAAGAAGATCATAAGCTTCCTTTACTTTACCCACTTGGCACAAAGTGTGATCATCACTATCTAACTTTGTTGATCTGTAAAATATGCTATAGTCTAGCAGACATCTTCTAAAAAACCACAACTAACATTTCAACATTATCACGCTTGCTAAGGTTCCTACCCATATAGTTCAAAGTGAGAAGGGTGGGAAATACATTTTTTCAACCATGAGTAGATTATTATCCATGGGAAAATTCCCATTTATGATTACTTCTCCCAACTCTTATGCATCTAATATCAGTCTTTCTGAAATCAAGCTAAATTAAAAATGAATTCTTTATAATCATTGGATCTAGGTGCAACTCTCAGCTTCCTTTTTTTCTTCAGTACCATTTCTACATCGACCACATTTCCCATTCCTCTCAATGCTTCTGAAACAACCCCGTATGCTATAAAATCAGGTTTATAGTCTCTTTTCCTCAACTCATCCAAAGCGACAACTGGCAGTTTAGATGATCTGCCATTACATTGACCTGCCCAAGCTGCCTGTGATGTCATATCTAATAGTAGAGATTACACTTCTCATCTAATAAAACAATAGCTAGTCATCAACACTTCCAAATTGAAGCTAAGAATATAAATTAAAATTCCTAATCCAAAAAAGATTTTAAACTAGAAGACTGCAAATACAATCTTCAGAGGCCATTCTTTACGCCAATCCTTATATTCTGCACATTTATTGACAATTTTTATCTATGGTCTTCTATATCCTTCAAATGCAAAAACTCCTTCTGCCTATGAAATTTATGCAGAAACTCAAAGGTCATCTATTAGTTTCCAGATTTTGTAAGGTTTTCTTTATGAATCGCCTAATACGGAGTTGAACATTTTATCTTCATATTAAAGTTCTATTGGAATACTAAAACTGCAGAGCACATTTGAAGGATAAACTGAAAGTTGTTTCAGAAACTATTGATACTAATATGGTAAATTAATTTTAAAAATGTTTGAATAGAATCTCCGACAAATCAAAACCGATCAAAACAAGCTTATATTCAAGCAATTCAACCGTAAAACTTCATAAGAACTCAAATTACTTCAAAGCACTATCAACAAGCGCAGGTTTGACGCAATTTACGGAGAAGAGGAATTTAAAAACTTCTAAATACCTTTTGAACTTATTCATTCAAAAATAGGATGAAGGGCTCGATATCAAAGGAAAGCTCTCGCCTGGACGTTGGAGGAAGATACTTTCTCAGATCTGCATCAAAAGTTCAACTCCGCAACCTGTGCAACTGTAACTGTCGTGCAACAAATTCGCAAATCGGCGACTAAGCTATAGCAAAACGGCGACTGTGCTAACATCGATCTGCAGATTCATCCCATGTCCACTCTGCGTAGAAAGCTCTGGCCGGGACGAAGGAGGTATATCCATTCTCTCATCTGCATAGGAAAACTTGGTGATGCCCAATTTCGACCATGGAATCCCCTTCGTCATTCGCTCGCTCTCGAAGCCTTCCAACGACGGGAATGCTTCTCTCTGTTATGCTCCGTATTATTTTGTTATCTACGGAGGAGGTGCGAAACAAATCCAGAATTGAAATAAAAAAACATTATTGAAATTACAAAAGATTAAAATTGAAAAGAAGAAATAAGTGGAACATAAATGATATGTGGGCATAAAAGTGGACCATACGAGTAA